CACCCCCCTCCCGCCTCTCTTTCTTACTTGAAAGAAACAATGTATTGACAAAAATATATGCCATTTTGCAATAATGTATTATATTATAATGTAGGGAAAGGGCTTAGTATAATTGTATAACTTGTGCCCAACTCCCATTTTACATAAATTACTATAAAATATGTTTAGAGAAACAAGAGGCCCATAGGGCCTGCATCGCTCACCTGGATATCTAAGCAATCATGGCAGAATATTCTCCAAATGAGATCCATGGGAATATGCCAGACCCCAAGGCCAATCCTTGTAGCATATATATCTGTATTCGATTTTTCACGCCCAGCAATTTTATTTATGGTTATGGGGTGGGGATCTCAACTGTTTCCAATCTGTGACTCAGAAACTAGGTCCCTATGGTTGTGGCCGGACCCCAGGATCAATTCTAATATCATGACTGCATTTGTCTCTTTTTGCCCAGCATTTGTATATATAGTTTTGGGGTGGGGATCTCAACCGTTTCAAAGTTATGACCCAGGGGTTAAGTCTCCAAGGGTGGGGCAGTCCCCAAGGCCATCCTGGAAGCATATTTGCATTTATCTTTTTATACTCAGCAATTGTATAGGTGGTTATATGGTGGGGATCTCAACCATTTCCAGGCAATACACTTTTTTTGGCCCCAGTTTTGGTTATAGGTCGGGGATCTCAACTGTTTCCAAGCTGTGACTAAGAAACTAGGTCCCTAGGGGTTCGGTCAGACCCCAGGGTCTATTCTAATATCATGACTGCATTCGTCTCTTTTTGCCCAGCATTTGTATATATAGTTTTGGGGTGGGGATCTCAATCGTTTTTAAGTTATGGCCCAAGGACTATGTTTCGAAGGGTGGGGCCAGACCCTAGGGCCTTCCCGGAAGCAAATGTGCATTCCTCTCTTTATACTCAGCAATTGTATATGTGGTTATATGGTGGGGATCTCAACCATTTCCAGGCAATACACATTTTTTGGCCCACCCCTTAGCCTGGGGGCTCAGCCCCACCATTTGTACAATTTTGAATCCCTGCCTCCTATGAATGCTTCCGACCAAATATGATCGATATCCAGTGGATAGTTCTACAGAAGAAATCGTTTGTAGAAATATAGCCAAATTGCCCACTTTTGGTCCCGCCCTCAGCCCTCTGGGGGTCAGCCCCACCATTTGTACAACTTTGAGTCCCCAACACCTAGGGATGCTCCCAGTCTAATATGGTTGATATCCATCACTTAGTTCCAGAGAAGAAGTCGCTTAAAGCAATATAGACAAAACAAAATTTTTGGCCCCACCCCTCCGCCCCCTGGGGGGTCAGCCCCACCATTTGTACAATTTTGAATCCCTGCATCCAATGAATGCTTTTGATTAAATATGATCGATATCCAGTGGATGGTTCTACAGAAGAAATCGTTTGTAGAAATATAGCCAAATTACCCCTTTTTGGCCCCGTCCCTGATTCCCCTGGGGGGTCAGCCCAACCATTTGTACAATTTTGAATCTCCACAACCTAGGTATGCTTCCAGTCTAATATGGTTGATATCCATCACTTAGTTCCAGAGAAGAAGTCGCTTAAAGCAGTTTAGCTAAATTGCCCCCTTTTTGCCCCGCCCCTCAGCCCCCTTGGGGGTCAGCCCCACCATTTGTACAATTTTGAATCCCCACCACCTAGGGATGCTTCCAGTCAAATTTAGTTAAATTCCAATCAGTGGTTAAGAAGAAGAAGTCGTTTAAAGAAATTGTTGACGGACGACGGACGACGGACGGACGGACGACGGACGCCACTCCTTCGTGTGATAGCCAATTGATCAGACGAGTAGAACGGGCTGTATCATAACAAATCGTGATCCTGCCCCTTTGTTATTGCTTTTGTTTAAATGTTTAGTTTTAAGTAAAGGCATATACTTGTCTATGTAGTAAGTAATATATACTCATAAAAAATCAATTACACTTATTATTATTCAGCAATTAGTTCAAATAGTGTATGTATCGTGTATGCTTGTTCAATGAATAGAACAGCCATCGGCCGGGAGGGTCAGTGGTATCCAACGTAATAATTATGACGTCGCAAAAATGACGACGTGAACAATCGGGACATGGTATTCATAGCATATAAGAATGCCAACTAGGGTTATAAAGTGACAATACCATACGATGCTAAATATACTGGTAAAACGATTACATGTATCACATGATGCCCGCTCTGGGAGGGGAGTAAGATTAGGGGTCTGCTCCTTGTTTTACACGGCGCCCTCACTGAGGGGATATAAGAGCCAGGGGTGTTGGGTGCATCTTGATGACTTGTCCGTCAGTAAGAACATAAAATACCATTTTATCTGTCCTACGATCTAGCCAGGCACCTGTTTTGAGATGTCTACGCTGTAAAATTTGAAGCTGAGTTAGAAATCTTCACGGACAGGTTGCATGCAACCAGCTACACTAAAACTCCAACAAGTTTTGTCATTAAAAATAAAATATTCCCGGAAACCGAAAAAAAAAGACCCCAATCATGAGAACTGAACCACCGGGAGGATTGTATATTGATTTGACAGGGAGTTGAGGATGCTTTACATGAGGTTTACAGTCGCAAAGTAGCGGAGTCTACTGATCAATATCGTCTTGCGTACACATGTACAACTCCTGAGAACCAATTCTGATATCAAGTGTGTGTTTCAGAGTACATGTATACATAAACGGAAGTCCTACCAGCACCCGTTCTATATACGTGTGTGTGATGTCAGTATGGACGTGGGTCACTATGTGGTCAGTGTGGATGGACGTGGGTCACCGTGTGGTCAGTACGGATATTGGTCAATTATCAATGTGTTGTCAGGAAAGGCAGTGAAAGGAGACATGTCGTCTGTTATCTAAGGATACGCCCTATTCTCCGCCAAACCACCTTAGAGGGAGGCCATCTGTCTTTTGTCACTTGTGTAGATAAAGTCGTTTCGATTTCATGAAATTGTCGAATTTGATCTGGAACTGGTAGAGAAAACAAATCCTTCTCTTGCCCCTTGAGTCCTTCCCTCCCATGTATTGAGTCATGTTACCAAATGTATCACAGATAACGAGTTACACTTTAAATGTGGAAGCAGCAACTGAACCGGATTGTAATTTAATCAGCGTTTTCCTCCGGTACTTCATCCCTAAGGATCCGAAATATTCTTAAAACTTCAGGACATAACTTTACAAAATTATTTAAAAATGACTCATAAATTTGCATATACAGTTCACTATTGTCTAGGAACGTGGTTTGTCTATAAAGACTAGTGATGTCTAGATACTAGGTTTGTCTATAACGACAACTGATGTCTAGATACTAGGTTTGTCTATAACGACAACTGGTGTCTAGGTAGTAGGTTTGTCTATAACGACAACTAATGTCTAGGTACGAGGTTTGTCTATAACGACAACTGATGTCTAGGTTCTAGGTTTGTCTATAACGACAACTGGTTTCTAGGTACTAGGTTTGTCTATAACGACAACTGGTGTCTAGGTAGTAGGTTTGTCTATAAAGACAACTGCTGTCTAGATACTAGGTTTGTCTATAATGACAACTGATGTCTAGGTACTAGGTTTGTCTATAACGACAACTGATGTCTAGGTACTAGGTTTTGTCTATAACGACAACTGATGTCTAGGTGCTAGGTTTGTCTATAGCGACAACTGATGTCTAGGTACTAGGTTTGTCTATAACGAAAACTGATGTGTAGGTACTAGGTTTTGTCTATAACGACAACTGATGTCTAGGTACTAGGTTTGTCAATAACGACAACTGATGTCTAGATACTAGGTTTGTCTATAACGACAACTGATGTCTAGGTACTAGGTTTTGTTTATAACGACAACTGATGTGTAGGTACTAGGTTTGTCTATAACGACAACTGATGTCTAGGTACTAGGTTTCTCTATAACGACAACTGATGTCTAGGTACTAGGTTTGTATATAAAGACAACTGATGTATAGGTTCTAGGTTTGTCTATAACGTCAACTGATGTCGAGGTACTAGGTTTGTCTATAACAACAACTGATGTGTAGGTACTAGGTTTGTCTATAACGACAACTGATGTCTAGTTACGAGGTTAGTCTATAACGACAACTGGTGTCTAGATACTAGGTTTCTCTATAACGACAACTGCTGTTTAGGTACTAGGTTTGTCTATAACGACAACTGATGTCTAGGTAATAGGTTTGTCTATTACGACAACTGATGTCTAGGTACTAGGTTTCTATATAACGACAACTGATGTCTAGGTACTAGGTTTGTCTATAAAGACAACTGATGTCTAGGTTCTAGGTTTGTCTATAAGGACCACTGATGTCTAGGTTCTAGGTTTGTCTATAACGACAACTGATGTCTAGATACTAGGTTTGTCTATAACGACAACTGATGTCTAGGTACTAGGTCTGTCTATAATGACAACTGATGTCTAGGTACTAGGTCTGTCTATAATGACAACTGGTGTCTAGGTACTAGGTTTTGTCTATAACGACAACTGATGTCTAGGTACTAGGTTTGTCTATAGCGACAACTGATATCTAGTTACGAGGTCTGTCTATAAAGACAGCTGATGTCTGACATCACAATGACTCACGTCCATACTGACATCACAGTGGCCCACGTCCATACTGACATCACAGTGACTCACGTCCATACTGACCAGACAGTGACTCACGTCCATACTGACATCACAATGACCTACGTCCATACTGACATCACAGTAACTCACGTCCATGCTAACCAGACAGTGTCCCACGTCCATACTGACATCACAGTGACTCACGTCCATACTGATATCACAGTGACTCATGTCCATACTTACATAACACTGACCCACGTCCATACTGACATCACAGTGACTCACGTCCTTACTGACATCACAGTGACCCACGTCCATACTGACACCACAGTGACTCACGTCCATACTGACATCACAGTGACTCATGTCTATACTGACATAACACTGACCCACGTCCATACTGACATCACAGTGACTCATGTCCTTACTGACATCACAGTGACTTACGTCCATACTGACATCACACTGACCCACGTCCGTACTGACACCACAGTGACTCATGTCCATACTGACATCACAGTGACTCACATCCATACTGACATCACAGTGACTCACGTCCATACTGACACCACAGTGACCCACGTCCATACTGACATCACAGTGACTCACGTCCATACTGACCAGACAGTGACTCACGTCCGTACTGACATCACACTGACCCACGTCCATACTGACATCACAATGACCCACGTTCATACTGACATCACAGTGACTCACGTCCATACTGACATCACAGTGACTTACGTCCATACTGACACCACAGTGACCCACGTCCATACTGACATCACAATGACCCACGTTCATACTGACATCATAGTGACTCACGTCCATACTGACATCACAGTGACTCACGTCCGTACTGACCACACAGTGACCCACATCAATACTGACCAGACAGTGACCCTCGTCCATACTGACATCACAATGACCCACGTCCGTACTGACCACACAGTGACCCACGTCCATACTGACATCACAATGACCCACGTTCATACTGACCATACATTGACCCAGGTCAATACTGACCACACACTGATCAAAATCCATACTGACATCACAGTGACTCACGTCAATACTGACCACACAGTGACCCACGTCCATACTGACATCACAGTGACACTCGTCCATACTGACATCACAATGACTCACGTCCATACTGACATCACAGTGACTCACGTCCATACTGACATCACAGTGACACTCGTCCATACTGACATCACATTGACCCACGTCCGTACTGACATCACAGTGACCCACGTCCATACTGACCACATAGTGACCCACGTCAATATTGACCACACAGTGACCCTCGTCCATACTGACATCACAATGACCTACGTCCATACTGACATCACAATGACCCACGTCCATACTGACCACATGGTGACCCACGTCCATACTGACATCACAGTGACCCACGTCCGTACTGAACACACAGTGACCCACGTCCATACTGACATCACAATGACCCACGTTCATACTGACCACACACTGATCAAAATCCATACTGACATCACAGTGACTCACGTCAATACTGACCACACAGTGACCCATGTCCATACTGACATCGCAATGACTCACGTCCATACTGACATCACAGTGACTGACGTCCATACTGACATCACAGTGACACTCGTCCATACTGACATCACATTGACCCACGTCCGTACTGACATCACAGTGACCCACGTCCATACTGACCACACAGTAACCCACGTCAATATTGACCACACAGTGACCCTCGTCCATTCTGACATCACAATGACCCACGTCCAAACTGACCACATAGTGACCCACGTCCATACTGACATCACAGTGACCCACGTCCGTACTGACCACACAGTGACCCATGTCCATACTGACCACACCGTGACCCTCGTCCGTACTGACATCACACTGACCCACGTCCATACTGACCACACAGAGACCCTCGTCCATACTGACATCACAATGACCTACGTCCATACTGACATCACAATGACCCACGTCCATACTGACCACATGGTGACCCACGTCCATACTACCATCACAGTGACCCACGTCCGTACTGAACACACAGTGACCCACGTCCATACTGACATCACAATGACCCACGTTCATACTGACCACACACTGATCAAAATCCATACTGACATCACAGTGACTCGGGTCAATACTGACCACACAGTGACCCATGTCCATACTGACATCACAGTGACACTCGTCCATACTGACATCACAGTGACTCACGTCAATACTGACCACACAGTGACCCATAACCATACTGACATCACAGTGACTCACGTCCATACTGACATCACAGTGACACTCGTCCATACTGACATCACATTGACCCACCTCCGTACTGACATCACAGTGACCCACGTCCATACTGACCACACAGTGACCCACGTCAATATTGACCACACAGTGACCCTCGTCCATACTGACATCACAATGACCCACGTCCATACTGACATCACAATGACCCACGTCCTTACTGACCACATAGTGACCCTCGTCCATACTGACATCACAGTGACCCACGTCCGTACTGACCACACAGTGATCCATGTCCATACTGACCACACAGTGACCCTCGTTCGTACTGACATCACACTGACCCACGTCCATACTGACCACACAACGACCCTCGTCCGTACTGACATCACAATGACCCACGTCCATACTGACATCACAATGATCCAACTCCATACTGACCACACACTAACCCACGTCCATACTGACCACACAGTGACCCTCGCCCATACTGACATCACAATGACACACGTCCATACTGACATCAAAGTGGCCCACTTCCATACTTACCACACACTGACCCACATTCATACTGACATCACAGTGACCCACTTCCATACTGAACACATACTGACATACGTCCATACTGACAACACAGTCACTCACGCCCAAACTGACCACACAGTAACCCACGTCCATACTGACATCACAATGACCCACGTCCATACTGACATCACAGTGACTCACGTCCATAATGACCAAACACTGACCCACGCCCATACTGACCACACAGTGACCAATGTCCATATTGACCAAACACTGGCCCACGTCCATACTAACATCACAGTGACCAATATTCATACTGACAACATAGTAACCAGGGTCCATACTGTCGTCAGAATGACCCACGTCCATACTGACTACACATGGTGACCAGGTTCCATACTGATCACACGGCCATGCTGACCATGCACTGACCAATGTCATACTGACCACGCAATGGCAACATTTCCCAATAAAATGTTTTATCTTGTTATATCTACACGTAGACCACGGGGTCGCAATGTCTCTACTTTGTGTAAGATACGGGTTATTGAACTTGGTTAACCCCTCCTCTGATAAGAGGTTAATGTTTTTGGTTCAGAAGATTATACATGTAATACGCTCTTCCGTTCCAGAGGATTAAAATCCGACTAAACGAAAAGACATGGAAGTCCACCAGACTGATATAAGTAAATTAAGTTTAAAAACAATCACATTCAAATTGAAAAGAAACCGATTTCTTAAAATACACACGAATTCAGATAAATTCTTTGATGCCGTAGAGGCTGTGCATGAGCTTGTCTGGCACCGGAGAACGTGAGGAAAGGCAAGAAGCCTTCCGAAGTTAGTGGTATGATAAAGTTTGAACTTTCCGAGGGAAGGAGTGAGAGACAGGGGAAGGGAAGTGGAGTTGGGGAGATATTCTGTCAGATTGGAGATAACATCAACGACTATTACAGATAAGTAGGAATTAACAGAACTGGTGAATAACTGAAGCCAACTGGTGCCGTGAGATATAGCATCAGTAGACCTACCGATCTAGATCAGCTGGTGAGATTACAAACTGTGTCAGTAAGCTAGGGACTTCCAAACCGAACACTAATCCTGAAATGATTCAAAACATACAAGTACACTTATCTCCAAATATCCCATGTATTTAATTCGCGCGTCTATCCACTTGCCAGTTCATAATTGGTAAAAGGATTTCTAACTCTTTGAATGTTCAAAGTCTGTGCTGTATAATAAAAGATATCTGTATAAATAAAACCAGTTTTACTGATGTTGTTCAGTACGTATGCCCTACACAGGAGATAAATTTGTGTAAAATATCCCTATCTTCCTCCACCCCTGAGAATTTGTATATCTGACCTATATGTTTGCAGCATGAACGTTTGAATGCAGAAAGCTTGTCCTACCCCCCCCCCCCCCCCCAACCCCACAACCCACAACCCCTCCTCCTCTCCCCCTCCTTAGATAAGCCTTTCACTCACCAGTATTCGATTGCAATGATCTGCCAGTACTTACATTTAGATACCCGCAGGCATGGCTGATATTTGTCTGTAGCAGTTGTTTGTTTGTAGTATTTGTTCTATTTACCGATGTATCTATCAGAATGTCTGCAGGTAGACTATTGACTTGAGCAAGGCTACAGACCATTGACCATGCACATACAGAAGAAAGACCGTTATTTGGGCAGTGTACAGACGATGAGGTCGGTTACAGCTCAAAAACCGTCCCATTTGTGTCTTCTTTCCTTTTCCCACACATACAGCCAAATAATCTGGCAAGCCACCTAACATTTACTCGTCACGAGATAATTAAAATTAAAACTCCCAGAGTTTGGAAGATGACCTAAGTGTATGTGAGATCTGCTCTTTTTAAGATATGAGCTATTTTATGTTTATGATATACCTTACATAGAACGTCTGCCAGTGTACTGTTTATTGCCGAGCGGAGCGAGACAGAATTTTGTATCTGATGCTGGGGTATCTAATCATCAACACTCAAAGAATCGAGGCAAGGATGGATTAAGCCATTACATGTATTTAATACACATGAACTCCATCCCCTTTAAAACAACTCCTTCCCTTTTTATTTCAAGTTCAAGAGCTCAAACGACTTTGTTTGACATTGACTTCTAAGTTTCCAGTTACCATGACAACCTCCTTTACGAAATCAGTTGTGGGATGCTGAAGTCAGTGAGGCAGTGAAATGTTTCCGTGACGACATTAATGAGACATATGATTGTCAGATTGATCTTGTACGAACGCTGAAGGTACAATTTTTTTTTGAGGCAGCAACAGGCGTCTAGGACTCAAAAACCTATTTTCTGCCAAATTTTCATCTTCGGATGCCAGCGCATACACTCCATTCTTGATCGTTTCGTTCATCACTTCTCCGTTAAAGTAGCCCTAGCCACTTTGTTCATCCTTTTTAATTAAATCATTGCTTCTATTTATCATTTTCTTCTACACTTCATTCATTGTGTATGCAACCTGGGCATGTTTAGGGAGTCTTGCTGTATGTCACTGTATTTTATCGTAAGAGGTAAGTAATGCGGGCTCCCTACATAATCAGGGGGGTTCTTATATTTAAAATCCTTATATAAACATTAATCCAAACTGTTTTTCATTCTGCTTTGCATTGTCACTCTATAGCCCTATAATGTCATTTGTGATCGTATCGCCCGTGTGTTTTAGGTACAGTACAGTGACGGGACACCTCTCGTTCTCTCCGGACAAGTCAGCCAAACGAAGAACCATGTGTTCTGGTCAATCACGACTCTATAGCTCGAACCTCATCATCTCATCAGTCAAACTGTTTATCCATCTCAACAGGGAGCTTCAACAGGGTGTGGACAGCTGACCTGGCACAGTGGTCAGTTATGGACAGCTGACTGCGTGCTGATTAGTAGGGAATTACACGGGGCTTTGCGGAAAGTAAGGTCTCGATGTATTCACGTAGCACACCCGAGACAGCAAAGACAGTGAAAAATACGATTTTAAGAGGATGGGAGATCGAACGAAGCATTTCGTTATCATATTTTATTAAGAGAGTGGACTGTCTGCCTCTGACATGCAATGATCGAGCCCTCGCCTAATGGAAATGATTTGCGATCGTCTTATCTAGGGGAGAAGGACAGATTGAAATAGGCCGTGGTTAATGACCAGACTGTCTGTCCATCACCAAGCCGTCCTTAGTAACACAGTAGGAGCTTGTTATCATCAGCATGCATGTGTAGAGTACAGAGGCCCGAGACTGGATGGAACTGTGTAGGAGCTTGTTATCATCAATGTGTGAAGTGGAGAAGCCAAAGACGGTCCATAACTAGCCCATTAATTACTTGTAACTTACTGTAATATTTTATCATCTAGATGTGAAGTAGGCAGACAGATTGATTCGGAACCCTCACTATACCTGTACCATGGCCACTGTAGTCTATAACATGATTATGTCTGTTGTTATTATCGACCGAGGGAATTTACATAATTTCCGTTTTGTGGTTTTGTCTCCTACTTAACTTAGTTTTAGTAGGCAGCCATAAATTCTTGTAGGAAAACCTACTAGTGGTATTAGTACGTTTTACAAATATATTAATAGGGGATTTGGTTTGACGTTACAATGACGTGACGCCATTGTGATGTGACGTCACATTAAGCTGATTTGGTTCTTGTATCACGTGACTTGGAATTCCTTAAATAAAGTATTTTTTACATTGTTGCCGAACTTGGGTAAATACATTGCTTTTTTAAACCACACGTGAGATAATTTTAACTTGAAATGCAAAAGTCATTTTCACACGGACCGGCATCATTACTATTTACAGCCCGGAGCGAGTAGAATAGCTGGTTATCGGGAGTAAGAGTAACAAACGCTATGAATACTATCAAGATGTCTATCGATAAATTTGACATTATTTTCTCGCTTATCCTCGTGTTATAATAGCAGTGCCCCTGTAAGACAGGGCCCTAACACCGGACCGGTGACCAGGACTATACGGTATTGTGGTGTTGTCCAGATTTTTCCTTAACTTTTAGACAGTACTAATCTGAATATATTTTCTCAGCTTCTTGCAGAATAAAATGTCGCACCAAGCTGTAGACTTCATTATATTTTGGTATGTCGTGTAATTCATTTGCTAAAATGTAGGTAAAATATCAACTATTTCATTATTACTCAAGATTCAAAACAGATCAGTGATGTATCCTACAGGTATCGGTACATTGTAGGGAGTCTGAAGGTATACTTTGTATGTACATTGTAGGGAGTCTGGAGGGATAATCTGTATGTACATTGTCGGGAGTCTGGAGGTATACTTTGTATGTACATTGTAGGGAGTCTGAAGGTATAATTTGTATGTACATTGTAGGGAGTCTGGAGGTATAATTTGTATGTACATTGTAGGGAGTCTGAAGGTATAATTTGTATGTACATTGTAGGGAGTCTGGAGGTATAATTTGTATGTACATTGTAGGGAGTCTGAAGGTTTAATTTGTATGTACATTGTAGGGAGTCTGAAGGTATAATTTGTATGTTCATTGTAGGGAGTCTGGAGGTATACTTTGTATGTACATTGTAGGGAGTCTGAAGGTATACTTTGTATGTTCATTGTAGGGAGTCCGAAGGTATAATTTGTATGTTCATTGTAGGGAGTCTGGAGGTATAATTTGTATGTACATTGTAGGGAGTCTGAAGGTATAATTTGTATGTTCATTGTAGGGAGTCTGGAGGTATACTTTGTATGTACATTGTAGGGAGTCTGGAGGGATAATTTGTATGTATATTGTAGGGAGTCTGAAGGTATATTTTGTATGTAAATTGTAGGGAGTCTCTGAAGGTAAACTTTGTATGTACATTGTAGGGAGTCTGAAGGTATAATTTGTATGTATATTAAAGTCTGGGGGTATAATTTG